TAGCGCCCCGCGCGCCAGCGCCGCCAGCTCGTTGCGCTTGACCTTCAGCACGTGCACGTTGCGGGGCAGCCCGGGCGGCAGCGTGTGCAGCCGGTTGCCGGACAGGTCCAGGGAGCGCAGCAGGCGCAGCTTGCGGAAGGCGTCGCGGTGCACCTGCGGGCTGGTGATGCGGTTGTAGCTGAGGTTGAGCTCCTCCAGGAAGTAGGTGGCGGCGAAGTCGTCGCGGCCGATGCCGGCGATCTGGTTGTGCAGAATCATGAGCGTGCGCACGCGGCGCGGCAGGCCGCGGGGCACGCGCTCCAGCGCGTTGTTGTACAGGTGCACCGTGTGCAGCCGCTTGAGGCCCTGGAAGGCCTGCGGGTGGATGCCCTGCGCGTGCAGCTGGTTGCTGTGCAGCAGCAGGTACTCGAGGCTGCGGATGGGCGTCAGCACGTCCGCGTCCACGCGGCGGATGGCGTTCTTCTCCAGGTGCAGCAGCACCAGGCCGCGCGGCAGCCCCGCGGGGACGCGCGACAGGTTGTTGCTGGACAGATCCAGGTACTCCAGGCTGGAGAGCTTCCTGGGGGGCGGGGGGAGGGGTTGAGGGGGAAGCAGGACGGCTGGCAGGAGCCACACGGCACGGATCCCCCCCAAGGGAGGTGGCAGGGGCTCGCCTCTGAGTCATCTGAGGGGGACCTCGGCCCTCGCTGGGCCTCTCAGGGGTCGGCTCAATGATGTGTTGGTGGGGAACGGCCCAGTTTCCGACACGTGGGCGTTTGCTTGGAGGTCACTGTTTAACCTCCTGTTTGCTTATTTTTATTTACTTATTTACTTATTTGAGAGGAGGAGAGAGAATCTCACTACGTTGCCCAGGCTGGAGAGCAGTGCTGCCATCACTACTCGCCACAGCCTTGACCTCCTGGGCTCAGGTGATCCTTCCACCTCAGCCTCCTGAGTAACTGGGACTACAGGTGTGCACCCCCATGCCTGGCTAATTTGTGTATTATTATTATTTTGTAGAGATGAGGTCTCGCTATGTTGCCTGGGCTGGTCTCGAACTCCTGGGTTCAAGTGATTCTCCCACCTCATCCTCCCAAAGTATAGGGATGACAGGTGTAAGCCACTGCACCCAGCCAATTAGCTTTGTATGGCTACTCTGGGAGAGAGAGAGAGAGAGAGAGAGAGAGAGAGACAGAGAGCGAGAGAGAGAGAGAAAGTATTTGCCTTTAACAAGAATGCCTGAATTTGTGAATGCATCCTTGCCTCCCTGGAATCTTGGCAGGCCTTACCTACACGCATCACCTGTTCTTGGGGACAGAAATGTCAACAGAGGCACAGCCTCCACGTTCCTTCTGCAGGGAACCTGACTAGGGGGAGGCAAGGGATGTGTGTGAGGGCTTCGTTGGGTGGTAGGTCCCGAGAGGCGCTTCCCGGGCACACGGTCCCACTGAGGACCTGCTGAGTTGGGAACCCACCAGAAGGTCTCGTTGTCCAGGCCCTCGTCAGTCAGGTAATTGTTCTGCAGATACAGCTCTCTCAGGTTGCTCAGTGCACTGAAGGCCCCTGGAGGGATCTTCTCCAGCTTGTTGTTCTGGAGGGGAGCATGAGAGGGAGCTAGGAAGCAGGGCCAGGGCTTCAGGGTGAGCTGTGGAGGGGACCCAGGCCTGGAGCACCCGGGTGTGGCGCTGACAGCCACACACACAGCCTGCCCAATGGCTGGGTGCCCAGGCCTCTGCCCACTCCTTCGTGGTGGACTCAGCTCTCAGCCCCACTGCCCCACTTGGGCAGTGCCTGTGCCCACGCGGGCCTGTGCTCTTCCCCCTGTAGGGCCCTGCTCCCGTCCCCTGGCCACGGGGTCTGTCATCCCCCTCTCTGCGCCCTCCCCTGCCCACCTTGAGGTGCAGCTTGTACAGGGCAGGCGGCAGGTGCTTAGGCACGTGGCGCAGGAAGTTGCTGGACAGGATGAGGATCTCGACATTGCTGGAGCCGTTGAACATGTTGTCTGGCAGCCCGGCATCTGCCAGCTTGTTGTTGTGCAGGTACACTGACCTGGGGGAAGAGGTATAGGTGCTCACCCTGCCCGGGTTCCCCCCAGCCTGGGGCCACTGAGTCTCCAAACCCTTGCTCGGGCTGAGTCTGGGACCTGGGGCCCTCTCCTCCCATACCAGCCGGAGGGTACAGAGTCAGAAGAGCCTCAGAGCCTCCGCCCTCCAAGTCGAGGGACTGAGGACCAGAGGGGCAGTGCCCCCCCAAAAGTGATCCCACATGCTAGTGGCAGAAATAGGATTTCCTGGCCCCAGCTGGGGCATCTCCTTGCCTTGCAAGGTTCTCAGTCAATTCCTACCATTCCAGCCCCAGAGTCCTTACCCACCTCTCAGCTCCTTCATCTCTGCCTGCCAACCTCACACAGCCTGGCTCTGAGTTCTGTAGGACTGGCTGAAGACAGGGCCTATTCCCGTCTGCCTCTTTGTCCCCAGTGCCCAGCATAGGGCCTGTCACACAGGAGATGACCCTCATTCATCCAGCAAATATATAATGGATATATCACATTATGTGATATAGCCAATGTAGATAGGAGGGGGACTCAAAAAACGGAATTTGTTTATTAAAAATTTGTGTACTTATTCTTACATGTTTAAACTTCAATCACCTTCAAAGTACTCTCTGTTTGATGTAAGACACCTACCGAGATGCTTTTTCTGCTGCTCAAAAGAGTTTTTGAACTCGTCAATTTTGACACCTTTTAGTGCTTCTGCCGTTTTTTGTTTCACCTCTTCCATAGCAGCAAAATGTTTCCCTCTGAGGAAACATTTTTCATTCAAGGAAACAAAAAAAAGTCACCGGGGTGAGACTGGGTGAATAGGGAGGGTGGGGCATGGAGGTTATGCTTTTGGGGGGGCAAAAACTGCTGAACACTCAGGGCAGGTATGCTTGTAAATCACCATCATGAAATGGGCAAATGCACTGAAAGAACCTCCAAAAAAAATTCACTAAAATGGAACACAGCCTCTCACAACAAAGCTAGCTGGTACAGAGATGCCGATGGGGGTCTAGAATACCAACCTAGTGGGGGAAGCCTGTACCACAAGGGGCTCACCCTCCAAAAGATAATTCTGGGGGGTTTTGGGGGTCCCCTTCATACATATACATATATTTATGTGTATAAGTATAAATACACACACACACACACACACACACACACACACACACACACACACACACACACACTAGGTGCCAGAGTGTTCTGGGCTCCGAAGCTATCACGGTGGACACGACCGAGACCCTGCCCTCATGGAGCTAACACCCTAGGAGGGAAGACGAGGAACAAGATGACCAGGTAAAAGGTACAGCTCAGTCTCGCTGTGTGGCCTGGCTTGCGCCTTCGCCTTCTCATCTGTGGGATGGGGCCTTGCACAGTGACCCCGGGGTCCTCAGGCAGATGCAGAGAATCGAGTGAGATGACAGAGGCAGCACTGGGGCTGTCCAGCCCAACCTCCTTACTGGAAGAGGACTCCAGAGCAGCCCCCCACCTGGCCTCATACCACCCCGCCCTGCTCGCACACCTAGGCTGGGGCCCTCGCTCCTCCCGACACCACCCCAGCAAAGGGCACTTCTGCCTGGGGGAAGACGCTACCCTCCCCCAGGGGCAGGGAAGGGCGGAAACCCCCCCACACAGTTCCCACAATTCCTACAGGCAACACTTGTCCTTGCTTGTTGGACCGAGTCCCCTCATCCCTTACAGTCCTGTGCACCTCCAGCCCTGCCTGTCCCCCCACTACCCAGCAATCCCCTCCTCTGGGGCCAGTCTGTGCCCGACACAGGATGGGTGGACCCTGCCTCGGCCCCTGCCCTTGCCCCAGCCCCAGCCCAGGGCACCCCTCTGACTTCTGACCTCAAGTTTGGCTTCTGGCCAAAGGTGAGCCCGTAGATCTTGGTGAGATAGTTGGCAGCAAAGTCCACACTGATCAGGGCGTTTGGCAGGAACCGGGGTGCCAAGGTCAGCTGGAAAGGGAAGAGTTGGGGCCGAAAGACCAATGCAGGGGCAGATCCCAGCTCTGGGTCCCACCGCCTGCCACTCGCCGGGACCCCCTCAGTGTGTCTCCTCCCTGCATCCAGGGCCATCTTTCCAAAATGAAGCCTGTCCCGCTGCTTTGAAGAAACACAAGCAAAACCTCTCTGTCTCCCCCAGCCCTTCACTTGGCATTCAGAGCTCTCTGAGCCTGTCCTCTGGCCCGCCCGTCCTCCTGGGCTCATCCTGGCTGGATGAGGGGTAGAAGCGGGTAGGACTTTTAAGGGTGCTCTGGCTGCCCTGAGAATGGGGAGGCCAACGAGGAGGAAGGGGAGTCCAGGTGAGGGATGGTGGCGTGGGGCTGTGAGGGGCTGAGGACCTGCAGGGGACTGGATGTGGTGAGGGCAGCTCAGAATCCAAGGTCACTCCTGAACTTGGGGCCTGGACCCAGGGGCCGTAGGGAGCTGGAGATGCCCTTTACAGAGATGGGAAGGTGGGGAGCATCAGGCTTGGAGGCAGGAAGTAAGAGTTCTACTTCCGTTCACCGTCTAGAGGAGATGTCAGGGGAACAGGTGGGTCTTTGAGTCTCCAGCTCCAGGAGTAGAAAGGCTTGGAGACAGTCACCGCAAGTAGCCAAGAGGCAGATGGGAATCAAAGCCTGGGAGGAGACACGTCACCTCGGAAGAGTTCAGAGGAGGGGCTAGGCCACAGCCCTGGAACATGCCAAGTATTTTGAGCTTGAGTGCCTTTGTGCTTTCACTTTTGCTGTCCTTTCTACAGCAGTGCCTATTACCCTTCATGACCTGTCCAAATGCCTTCTCCTCCAAGAAGCCTTCCAGTTCCCCCTCCCCAGTGGGGATGAGCTTCCTCTCCCCTATACTCCTGCAGGCTTCAGCCTCTGTCTTCATTCTCGGACACACTCTGATGCCCCAAGTTATAGGCATGGGGTCTGTGTCTACCTCACCCCCTACCCAGAGCCATGTCTGAGCAGCCTCCCCTGCCTCCTGGCTCACCCCTGCCCCGTCTGGCAGAGGTAGTGTCAGGACTCAGCTGTCACCAGGAGCCCAGCCAGGCTACCCCTTCTCCGTGGCCAGCCCAGGGACTCCGTGGCCAGCCCAGAAAAGGTCCTGGTGAAAGTTCACGCAACTCAAGGAAGACAACGTCAGGAGGACAGGGCAGTGCACCCTGCCCTGCCTCAAGCCCCTCACCTTGTTATTGGCCAGGTACAGATAGTTGAGGTTGGTCAGATGCTCAAACGCCTTCTCTGGGAGCCCTTCAAAGGACAGGCATCGGTCAGAGCCCTGGATGAAGGAGACGCTACAGGGGAACAGGCGAGCACCCACCCCCCCAGGCCCACCCCAGTCTCCAGGACCAAGAGGCCGAGGCAGCTCAGATCCCTTCCCAGTCAGTCCTGAGGCCTTGCACGGCCCCGCCCTCTTTCCCCTGCTCATACAGGCCCAGGCCTGGAGGAGCCAGCAGGGACTAGGTGACTCCTCCCCCTGAGTAGGGCTGATACTCATAAGATCAGGCCATCGGCAGAGGACCCAGCTAACCCGTCCTGCCAGGAAGGAGTGCTCCCCTCAGGGACAGCCCCACAGGCCAGAGCCCCTCTCCATTCCCAGCCCCACCCATGGGCAGGTGGGGCCTAGCTGGGATGATTCCGTGTGGGGGAGGGGCTGGGCCTCCCCACCACCTGGCTCACCCCTGCCCCCTCTGGCAGAGGTAGTGTCAGGACTCAGCTGTCACCAGGAGCCCCGCCAGGCTGGCCCTTCTCCATCCCCGGGCCACCCTCAGACGCTCAATTCCAGGACTCCAAGACCCCCAGATGGTGGGATTCACCCAAGTGTCTAGCAAAGGGAACAGTTATAAAAACTGTGGAGTGTACTTCCCCAGAAAACCCTGCTGCCACTGGGAAATGATGGTCAGTGGGAGTTTTCGGCAACATGGGAAGTGCTTGGTCCCCATTCTAAGGGCACCAAGGCAGGTTTATATCTGTAGCACAAGTGTAGCCATCAGTTTTTTGTTTTTGTTTCTGTTCTTGTTTTGAGTTGGAGTCTCACTCTGTCACCCAGGCTGCAGTGCAGTGGCTCCAGCTCACGGCTGCTGCAGCCTTGCCCTGCTGGGCTCAGGGGCTCCTTCTGCCTCAGCCTTCCAAGTAGCTAGAACTATAGGTGTGCACTACCGTACCCAGCTTGATTTATTGTAGAGACAAGGTCTCACCAAGTTGCCCAGGCTGGTCTCGAACCCCTGAGCCCAGGCAATCCTCTTGCCTCAGCCTCCCAAAGTGCTGGGATTACAGGCTTCAGCCACTGCACCCAGCCCAACACAAAGTAGAACAGACAGGACTGGATTGTGCTGATGGCTGCACAACTCCATAAACTTATTAAAACTTGTCACATTTTACCTTTAAATTGGGTAAATCTTATGGCATATGAATTATACCTCAGGAAAACTGCCTTTTTTTAAAAATGGAAAGAAATATACCAAAATGTCCCTAAAGATTAATTCCGGGTGACAGAATTATGAGTACCATTTTATTTTCCAAATTCTCTACCCTAATCATATATTGTTTTCACCATCAGAAAAAAAAAAAAAAAACTTTGTTAAATTTGAGACTCTGCACCTCTTTGATCTAAAGGCCCTCTGAGTTCAAGGTCCTGTGACCAGGTCCTGGGAAGCCAAGCTTCTCTGAGGCCTCTCCCCTGACCCACCCCCAAGGTCTCAGAAACACCCAGGGTGGCGTTTAGGTGACATCAGGGAGCCCCTTGACCATGTGGAGCTGTCCTCAGGCAGCCCTGCTGCCAGCCCCGCCCAGGCCAGCTCTTGCCCACACCCCACCATCTGCAGGGCCAAGTGCTTCCCACAGGCACCCAGCACCGCGCTCAGGCCCCCAAGTCCCCGCCTGGTGCCCCTGACCCGGGGCCCTGGGAGACCCCTCACCTCGGGAAGTCAGGCGGTTGTTCTGGAGGTTCAGTGTCTCCAGCCGGTGCAGCCTAGAGAGTTCCTCAGGGTAGATCTTCTCCAGCTGGTTGTTCTGGAGCAGGGGAGAGGACAACGAGGAGGCAGTGTCAGCCGTGGGGGCTGTGCCCAGGGCTCCTGCCCCATCCTGAGCCCCTGGCCGAGGAGCCAGCCCCCTTGGAATTCTCCCCATGGCAGCAGACCCCGGGGGCCAGCTCTGCAGCACAGCAGTGGCCACAGCAGCTTCCCTTCCTGGGCCCTGCAGTCATTTCTGCTCTTGGAACGCTTTAACACCTGGGTCAGGTCCCACCCCTCCAGAAGCCTTCCTGGGTTGGACTGGGGCTGGACTAGGGCCCCACAGTGCAAGTCCTTCTATTCCATTTTGATCTGTATCTCTACCTGTCTAGGTCTCTGCCCCGCCCACAGACTGTGAGCACCTGAAGGGCAAGGCGTGTCAAGATCTACCCTACAGGCTCGGCAGTCCACACAGGACCGGAGGTGTGGAGCGGGGACCCAAGAGATGGGTGACATACGAGTGAATGAGCCAGCGAAGTCGCAATAAGAGCTGTCCTCAAGTTGCCCCTTTCCCTCACTGGCTACCTTGACCTTGGGCTCCCACAGCTGCCAGCCCAGACCCACCTGTGTATGTGACGGCAGGCCAGTCCAGTCACTTTCCCCCACTGGGCCTGATTCTCCTCTGGAAATGGATATCATGACCCCTCCCGCTCCCCCAGGGCTACTGGGCCGCACAAGGCAATGCTGGCTGCCCCTATGCTCCCAGAGACCCCTGCTTCTCAAAGTTCTCAAACCCAGCTGGAGGGAGCACTCCTTCAATGCTCTGAGGCCCCAGAATATTCCAGTCAGGTCTACTTTGCTCTGATTTTCCTGACCCTGCAATGGTGTCTGGGTGCCCTGACTGTCGATTCAGAGGGTCAGCTGCTGGGCAGATCTGTACATTTTCAGACAGCCTGACTCTACTCACTGGGCCTCAGCCCCGACTTCTCTAAGTGAGTACAACGGATTATCATATCACAGTGCTCTGCGACTGGGACATTAGGAGAGGGAGCCACAGGGGTGGCCCAGGCCTCCACGGATCCCACCGCATCTGGGGTTGGGAGCCACACACATTGGGCGGCTGAGGGTATAAGCATCCGGAATGAGACTTGCGGGGTCCTGGGGGCAGCAGCAGCTCCACTCACTGATGGTTTCTCAGTGCCAGGCTCTGGGCTTGGCCTACACCAGACACAGCTCTGCATGGGGAGAGGACACCTTCGCTCCTCAGAGCCCAGGCCCATGAATGCTAAGCCCTGGTGGATCACAGTGATGGAGAGCCCTGGGGCATCTCGTGTTGGAGAACAGGCTGCTGTGAGTGCTGGGGGTTCTGGAATGGGAGCCGCATGTGTGTTGGGGGACGGCCGCTGATGACCACTGGGGCAACGTCGACCTCACCTGCAAAGACAGGTGGTTGGTGTGCTCAGGCAGGTCCCCTGGGAACTCACGCAGGTCGATGCCGCCACAGTCCACGACACCCTCCTGGGAGCAGGCGCAGTCGCGGGGGCAGTCGATTGTGGCTGGGCCCAGCCCTGGCTCCTCGGGGCTCAGGACCAGCACCGGCTCCTCCTCCACGAATTCGTTCTCTTCGGGGCTCCGGCTGTGGCCGCCGCTTGGGCGGAACGCCGGGGCCCTCACGGCCAGCACAGGACCCAGGTGCAGCTGTGGGGGCAGCAGCAGCAGGAACAGCAGCGCCCCGCTCCGGGCCATGGTGCCTGCGGGGGGAGGCGCAGGGGGAGGCGCGAGTCAGACCACCTGCGCGCCAGGGCCAACTTACCCCGTTAGTCCGGTGAGCCACAGCTCCAGCCTCTGAGAGTCACGGTGGGGCTTGGGCGCAGAGCAGGGCCCACCCTGGACCCTGTCCTCAGCACCCAGCTGGTCTGCTGATCGCTGCCCTCCGGAAGGGCACGGATGGGGTAAAGTCCTGTCCTTAGGCGGGTCTGCAAAACTTTCTGCAACCTTCACCAGCCCCAAGGAACCGGCACCCCCATTTCATAGTAAGAAAGCTCTTGCTAACTTGGCACAGACAGTGCTGGGAGACCCTGTCCCCGCTCTGGCACTAGCGGGCCAGCACTAGGGGGTGCGTCCCAGCTCTTCAACCTGCCGTTCTTGGAGGGCAGGACTTGGCTCTGCCTCTCTTCCAGCGGCCCCCAACTATACAGGGCTGTTGGACAGTTCCTCCGTCCAGGCCTTTGCATGGACCGTGCCTTCTGCCCGGAAGGCCCTTCCCCTCTCTCATGCAATCAGCAATGTCTTTTCCAGGAACCGCTCCAGTGTTGCGGGTGGGTGGGGGACAGGATTCCACGATGTCCCAGGGCTCTCCATCACTATGATTCCCCAGGGCTTAGCATTCATGGGGTTGGGCTCTGAGGAGCGAAGGTGTCCTCTCCCCATGCAGAGTTGTGTCTGGTGAAGGCCAAACCCAGAGCCTGGCACTGAGAAACCATCAGTGAGTGGAGCTGCTGCTGCCCCCAGGACCCCGCAAGTCTCATTCCGGATGCTTATGCCCTCAGCTGCCCTCTCCAAGGCCGGAAGTGCTCTTGTGACTGCTGCCCCCTGCAGGAGACCACTCCCAGCACGGCCTCCTGCGGCAGGGGGGGCGGTGCAGGCCCACCAAGGAAGGTGCCAGGGCACCGTCGTCCCATACTGCACTCGGCTGACTTTGTACCCTCTTAACCTCAGCCTCCTCACCCGTCCTCGGGGATGATAACAGATGGGGAGACAGAGGAGTCATGTGTGGACTTGCATTCAGTAAGTTCTCAATAAATGTCAGCTTTTCCTGTCACTGATTGTCCGCTCCCTGGGCAGGGTCTGCACCCTACACACACCACTGCCCACCCCAGAATACCCTGCTTCTTCTCCTTCCTTGTCTAGATCCTGCTTGGGCTTTTTTTCTTCTTTTTCTTTTCCCTTTTTTTTAAGAGGTGGGGTCTTACTCTGTCACCCAGGCTGGTTTCAAACTTCTGGCCTCAAGTGATCCTCCCACCTTGACCTCCTAAAGTGCTAGGATATGGGCCCCCACTCCTGGTCCTTTGCTTGGGCTTTTTGACCCAGTCCCAGGCCACCTCCTTCCCAGAAGATGCTGCAGACACTCTAGTCTGCTGTGAATTCCTGCCGCCCACTGGCTGCTACGGTGTTCCAGATACCATTTTGCTTTACTTGCTGTTGGCTCAGCCAGCTCTCCAGGGTGAGCCCTGTGCAGGGCACTGGTCCCTGTCCTTCATCTGGAGGAGGCAGCAGACCCTGGTACCAATAATCACTGCCCACCCTGGAGGAGTAGCAGTGTAGAAGGGGTCCTGAGGAGCTCGAGGCCCCAGAGGGAAAAGGTGTGAGGGGGAGGAGGGGCGGCAGCCAGGCTTGCTTGCCCCTCCGGGCCCACATGGCCCAAGCACATGTAGGCCCTGGCCACTGGCTGGCAGGGGATCAAGGAGCCCAGCACACACATCCCTAGGCTCCAGGGATCAGTCAGCAGCAGCAAGTGATGCCCATGGCACCTGGCCCTGTGCTCGCCTTGCCACACTCCTGCTGCCCCGGCCCCCTGGCCAAATGCCAGGCCACAGACCATCATTCCCACGGCACTTTATAAGTCCCATGGCCTAGCCCCTGGAGCTGCCAGCATTATACTGGAGCAAGCCTCTCTGCCCATCTGAGCCCTGCAGACCAGGGTTCTGAAAGGGACAGTGTGGGCACAGGCCCAGGCCCCAGGGTCTGCCAGGGCAAGAAGCCAGGGGGAAGGGTTGAGGGAAGGAGCCCTGGTCCCCACATTCTGTGTACTTCCTGGGCAGACTGCTCCGCCTTCTCGCCTTCAGTCTTGTATCTGTAAAAATCTGTAGACTCCCTCCATAACAATGTAATTTCTGTTCAGATCCTGAACCATATTGAAGATGTTATCGTCACCACTTTACAGATCAGGGAGCTGAGGCCCACTGGGATTGGCCGATGTCACAGCTGCCAAGTGGCAAAGCTGAGCTCTCAGCCCGGGGCTTCACAACAATGCTCTGCTGCTGTCCCTGGGCCAGGCACAGCAGGGTGACGGGGACCCAGACCCAAGAACCAGGCGTGGTTTCTGCCCTCAGAGGCCCACAGCTGCACCGTCCACCCTAGGGGCCTCTTGCCATAAGTGACTGCCAAGCACGGCAATGTGGCTAGTCCCCACAGAGACACGGATTTCAAAGACGCAGACCAAAAAAGTCTGTAAGATCCCTCATTAATACTACTGATAGCTCACAAAACACCTCATTTATTATTATATTGATTACATGGTATTTTTGATGTAAGGAGTTACATAAAATAAAATTGATTTTACCAGTTTCACTTTATTTTTTGTAATATGGTGTCTAGAAAATGTGGCACTGCATACGGGGTTTGCATTTGTGGCTCACGTTGCGTTTCTCTTGGACGGTGCCGGTCTAGAGCATGATGTGTAAGCTGAGTGTTACAATCCCAGGGTCATCCGAGGTGTGATGGGGAAGCTTAGAGTCCGCAGGGGCCCAGAGGAAGCCTAGCCTTCCCAGAAGTGATATCTGCTCTCGCCATTCTGCAGGAGGACTACCAGACAAAGGGAGAGGGTGACACAAGCGAGGGGCTGGTGAGTGCAAAGGCCTGGGGGCCAGAGCCTGTCTGGAGAGGGGTGGGGGGTAGGGGCTGGGAGTGCTACCTGTGGGCACAGTGGCCACAAGCCCAGGCCAAGGGGAGACTGGAGGGCCAGGTTAGGGCGGGTGGGCTTTCTCCTCAGGAGACGAGGGCCTCTGAGGAGCAGGAGCGTGAGACATGCAGGCTTATGGGTGGACTGCGAAGCTGCATGGCGGCAAAGGCAAGGGCGGAGGAGCTTGGGCAGGGCAGCGAGAGAGGTCTGGTTGCAGGAATGGGAAGGGGCTGGATGCAGGGGAGAGGAAGGACGGACAGACAGGCTGGAGCTCGGCCCCCGCAGCATCCTGGGTGGTTCCGGCTCTACCACCTGGTCTGCTGTGTGGCCTTGGCCATGCCCCTGGCCCGCCCGAGTCTCGATATCCCCACTTGTCTTTCTAAGATTGTTCAGCAAGATAAGCCCCTAGGCCCCTCTTGTGTGCCCAGCCACGCGGCAGGCGGAGGAACAGAGGAGAGAGCAGACCCCTGGGCTCCAGCAGCTCAAGTCACCTGGTGAGACACGACGCAAACCTCTGGACAGAGGGACAGCCCAGTCTGCCGTGAGCTCTTTCTCACGTGGAGAACTTGAGATGGAAGGACACGGGGTCCCACCCTGACTGCTGTGTGAGCCTGGTCGAGTCACTTCACTGCTCTGAGCCTCTGTCTACTAGTCTAGGAAATGCAGTTGGGAGGATTAAAGAAATGATGGGTCCAGCTGATGCAAGCATTGGATAGGTGCGACGTACCTTCAGCTACTGTTATTGAGTCAGTGAGGGACCCACTGTCTCCCCAAAACCCCTGCTGGGGAACTCAAGGCCCAGGATGGGAGACTAGGGCAGGACTAAAAGAAGAGAGAGGAAGGGAGCCCCAACGCAGGAGGCAGAGCCTCAGCCCCAAGCACCGCCTTCCTCCTCCAGTTCAGTAAAAATCCACTGATTGCCGGCCCTGTGCTGGGCCCCAGATGGCTACGTCTGGCTGACTCTCAGAGAAATCCTGGGACCGGCCAGGCGCAGTGGCTGAAGCCTGTGATCCCAGCACTTTGGGAGGCCGAGGCAAGAGGATTGTCTGAGCCCAGGGGTTTGAGACCAGCCTGGGCAACTTGGTGAGACCTCATCTCTACAATAAATAATAGTAATAATAATTTAGCCGGGTGTGGTAGCTCACACTTGTATTTCTGGTTCCTTGGAAGGCTGAGGCAGAAGGATCACTGGAGCCCAGCAGGTGGATGCCGGGGTGGTTATGAGCATGCTACTGCACTCCAGCCTGGGTAACAGAGTGAGACTCCTATTCGGAAAAAAAAGCAAAGAAATCCCGGGACCAAACATTTGCCCACCTATTTGCAGATCTGGAATTCGCACAAAGGGGCTGCCCCTCCCCAGAAAACTCCTACTCGAACACCTGTGCTCTGAGAAGCCTCTCCTGCCCTCCTGGCTGGGTTAAGGTGCTCCTCAGCGCTCCCGAAGCAACCCTGACACACTTTATTCTTCAAGGCTCACCTGAACCTCCCTGACTCTTCAGGCGTGGAGCAGGCGCTCGGGAAACGTTTGCTGGATGATGCATCTGGGAAAGGCAGAGTTGGAAGAGCTCTGCAGTGTCATCTGGTCTGACTCCCCCAGTTTACAGAGCAGTATGTCAAAGGCAAGGCCAAGAGTAAAATGTGTGTCTTCTGACTCCTGTCCTGCACCCCGAGTCGGTCTTGAATGCAGAGCAGGAGTTCTCGAAGTGGGCAAAGGAGGAGGAACAGCCTTCCAGGCAGAGGGAGCAGGTGCGCAAAAGGCAGGGGCGGGGCTGGGGAAGAGGAAGGGTCAGTAGGGGCTGGAGGCCCTGCTGCCAAGGGCATCGGGCACCGTGCTACAGTGTGGGTAACAGGGAGCCATGAAAGATTCCAGGCAAGTGACGGTCAGCGCTCCTTTGTGTGACTCTGCCAGGCCTAAAAGTGCCACCGCGAGTTACCGCAGCCTAGATTCAGACAGAACGGACACCTGACATGCAGACAGTCTTGTGAGGCCGACACTTACGAACTTGCACACGAGGCTAGAGGAGGCCAGGCCCTGGGCGCTAGGAGCGGCGCTGAGGGGGCGGAACCCCCGGACGCGCCCCCAGCCTTTCCGGGGCACCGCGCGGCTCCTCGGAGCAACCCGCT